GTCTAGGTTTGTCATTGCTTTTCTCCCAAGGAGCAGGCGTCTTTTAATTTCGTGGCTGCTGTCACCATCTGCAGTGATCATGGAGCCCAAGAAAGTAAAATCTCTCACTGCCTCCATTTCTTCCCCTTCTATTTGCCAGGAGGTGATGGGACCAGTGGCCATGATCTTCGTTTTTTTGATGTTGAGCTTCAGACCATATTTTGCGCTCTCCTCTTTCACCCTCAATAAAAGGTTCTTTAATTCCTCCTCACTTTCTGCCATCAAGTTTGTGTCATCTGCATATCTGAGGTTGTTGATATTTCTTCCGGCAATCTTAATTCCGGCTAGGGATTCATCCAGCCCAGCCTTTCGCATGATGAATTCTGCATATAAGTTAAATAAGCAGGGGGACAATATACAGCCTTGCCGTACTCCTTTCCCAATTTTGAACCAATCAGTTGTTCCATATCCAGTTCTAACTGTAGCTTCTTGTCCCACATAGAGATCTCTCAGCAGACAGATGAAGTGATCAGGCACTCCCATTTCTTTAAGAACTTGCCATAGTTTGCTGTGGTCGACACAGTCAAAGGCTTTTGCATAGTCAATGAAGCAGAAGTAGATGTCTTTCTGGAACTCTCTAGCTTTCTGCATAATCCAGCGCATGTTTGCAATTTGGTCTCTGGTTCCTCTGCCTCTTCTAAATCCAGCTTGCACTTCTGGGAGTTCTCGGTCCACATACTGCTTGAGCCTTCCTTGTAGAATTTTAAGCATAACCTTGCTAGCGTGTGAAATGAGTGCAATTGTGCGGTAGTTGGAGCATTCTTTGGCACTGCCCTTCTTTGGGATTGGGATGTAGACTGATCTTCTCCAATCCTCTGGCCACTGCTGAGTTTTCCAAATTTGCTGGCATATTGAGTGTAGCACCTTAACAGCATCATCTTTTAAAATTTTAAATACTTCAGCTGGAATACCATCACTTCCACTGGCCTAGTTACAGTATTTGCAGTGCTTTCTAGGGCCCATTTGACTTCACTCTCCAGGATGTCTGGCTCAAGGTCAGCAGCCACACTACCAGGGGTGTACGAGACATCCATATCTTTCTGGTATAATTCCTCTGTGTATTCTTGCCACCTCTTCTTGATGTCTTCTGCTTCTGTTAGGTCCTTACCACTTTTGTCCTTTATTATGGTAATCTTTGTATGAAATGTTCCTTTCATATCTCCAATTTTCTTGAACAGATCTCTGGTTCTTCCCATTCTGTTGTTTTCCTCTATTTCTTTGCACTGCTCATTTAAGAACGCCTTCTTGTCTCTCCTTGCTATTTTTTGGAAATCTGCATTCAATTTCCTGTATCTTTCACTATCTCCCTTGCATTTTGCTTGCCTTCTCTCCCCCACTATTTGTGAGGCATCGTTGGACAGCCACTTTGCTTTCTTGCATTTCCTTTTCATTGGGATGGTTTTCGTTGCTGCCTCCTGTATAATGTTGTGAGCTTCTATCCATAGTTCTTCAGGCACTCTGTCGACCAAATCTAAATGCTTAAACCTGTTCCTCACTTCCACTGTGTATTCATAAGGGATTTGGTTTAGATTGTATCTTACCGGCCCAGTGGTTTTTCCTACTTTCTTCAGTTTAAGCTTGAATTTTGCTATAAGAAGCTGATGATCTGAGCCACAGTCAGCTCCTGGTCTTGTTTTTGCTGACTGTATAGAGCTTCTCCATCTTTGGCTGCAGAGAATATGATCAATTTGATTTCGATGCTGCCCATCTGGTGATGTCCATGTGTAGAGTCGTCTCTTGTGTTGTTGGAAAAGCGTGTTTGTGATGACCAGCTTGTTCTCTTGACAGAACTCTATTAGCCTTTGCCCTGCTTTGTTTTGATCTCCAAGGCCAAACTTGCCAGTTGTTCCTTTTATCTCTTGATTCCCTACTTTAGCATTCCAATCCCCTATAATGAGAAGAACATCCTTCTTTGGTGTCACTTCTATAAGGTCTTGTAAGTCTTCATAGAATTGGTCAATTTCAGTTTCTTCAGCACCAGTAGTTGGTGCATAAACTTGGATTACTGTGATGTTAAAAGGTCTGCCTTGGATTCGTATCGAGATCATTCTATCATTTTTGAGATTGCATCCCAGTACAGCTTTCGCCACTCTTTTGTTGACTATGAGGGCCACTCCATTTCTTTTACGGGTTTCTTGCCCAGAGAAGTAGTAGATAAGATAGTCATCTGAACTGAATTCGCCCATTCCTGTCCATTTTAGTTCACTGATGCCCAGGATGTCAATATTTATTCTTGCCATCTCATTTTTGACCACATCCAACTTACCCTGGTTGATCCAACTTACCCTGGTTCCTCTCCCTCTTTCCTTTTCATACTTGTACAATAAATTATCAAATTACAGACAGGCTTCTGGCCTCTGAGGGAGCCTCAATATTGATAAAAAGAGTCTGTGGGCATGATCTCAACAGTGCCATCATTCTGACTTTGCAAGTGAAAGAGGGAGCCTGAAAAACTGAAGATCCACAGCCTACATTTGAAGCACATTATTTCCCCCCAAAGAATCATGGGAACAGGAGGTTCTTAAAGGCACTGGGCACTGTAGCTCTTTGGGTATAAACTACAGTTCTCCTCTATATACCTACCCAAGATACTCTCTGGATGCGCAGCTCAATTTGCCATCAAGTCAATGAAATTGGTGGTTACAACCGAGAGTGTCTTCTCAGTGGTGTCACTCTGGTAATAGAACAGCTTTCCCACAGAGGCTAATCTGGCACCTTCTTTAAAGCACCAGCTGAAGACCTTTTTTTTAACACAGGCCTTTTAAATTTGTAATTTAAGACAAACTAAAAAGTATTTATTCTGTCCTCACTAGGGAAAGTTTTATGTTGTTATTTTTACTGCGCTGTTTTAAGAATTCTATTCTGTATTTTTAGATATTGCATGATTGTTTTGTAAGCCGTACATAAAAATGTATTGAGGGCTGGTCATATGGATTAATAATAAAAATTAGGGATGGGGGAGAAATCTGATTCCATTTGCATTTAAAGGCAAACTGAAATTCACACTTGTCCAAATTTTTAAACTCAGTTCCTTCAGACAAGCAATGTCTACAAAAATCTATATACTGGAGTAAAAATGATACATATTGGTGAAAATAGCACACAAAAATTCATTATTTTAGGGAAAACCACTTTGCAAGAATATTACATAGTAGGCAAATTTGTTTACAAACAAATAGCAGAAATGTGGATGAACATGCTGATGAATTTTCACAAGGATTTCTTTTTATTAAAAAATGCAAATGGCTGTGGAAATGTGGAAGAAAGGAAAACAGAATCCAAAATGACAGATTAGCTCAGGCTTCCTCAAACTAGGCCCTCCAGATGTTTTGAGACTACAATTCCCATCATCCCTGACCACTGGTCCTGCTAGCTAGGGATGATGGGAGTTGTAGGCCAAAAACATCTGGAGGGCCGATGCTGAGGAAGCCTGGATTAGCTCATCCATTATAAACAACACCTATAGGCAGCTGCCACTTCCAGAATATAAAAAATGCACTACAAACAAAAGCATTTTAGCCCCTTCAATATTATTTTGCATTATTTTATTATTATTTATTAGATTTGTATACCGCCCTATACCTGCAGGTCTCAAGATAAAAATCCCAAGATAAAAATCCCAAGATAAAACCAGAAAACACATAATCAAAATAAAAACAAAAACAACCCAATAACACTCCCACCCAAATGTGGTATATGGTTGGTGCCAGTCTGGCACCGGAATATAGAGATTGTTTACATCCATGGTTTATCTGTCATTGTAGTACAGTAGTGACTGAGGTTAAGTACTTAATTCGTTCCGGAGGTCCGTACTTAACCTGAAACTGTTCTTAACCTGAAGCACCACTTTAGCTAATGGGGCCTCCTGCTGCTGCTGCGCCGCTGGAGCATGATTTCTGTTCTCATCCTGAAGCAAAGTTCTTAACCTAAAGCACTATTTCTGGGTTAGCGGAATCTGTAACCTGAAGCGTATGTAACCTGAAGCGTATGTAACCTGAGGTACCACTGTATCTAGTGAATATGAAAAGAATGAACTTCTGTCCAGCTGAAGCAACTCTACAGTTTAAACTACCAGATGACATGTAGTCACGATAAGCATTCCTCACCCTATGGGAGGCTGTGGTTAATGAGTCAGAAGGCTGCTTCCTGCACCAAGCATAAAACCACAAGGCCCAGCATGTATATGATTGTGGTCAGGTAATATGTTGTGTGCTTGCCCCCTGCAGACTGCTGTTGAAGCTGGAAATGGGTGCAATGTGAATACAACAATCTCTCATCAAGATGAAAGTTAAACTGCTTGCTATAGAGAGTAGGGAAACTAATTGACTTGCTTCATCCCAGACAATGGATTATAATCCCATCCTTGAACCTTGCCCCAGCTATTCAGACTCCTGTTCCCTGCACCAGCCTCCAATTTCTTTTCTCCAATGGCAGGGTTGCCATGTGTCCTCTTTTTCCAGGACAGGTCCTCTTTCTCACAGGTATGTAAGATTAGAGATGTCATAGCAACCTATAGTGAAAAATAGGAGTCAGAAAATGTGTCCTCTTTTTTTGCTCTTCAAAATATGGTGACCCTACCAACGGGGCTTGCACATTCACTTGTTGTGCACCAGAGTCCTGCAACTTTTCTGTTTTGGCATTTTGACCTTGCATCTCATTCAACTTCTTTGCTCTTGTGCTTTTTTCAGGAGTGCTGTAGTACATATATGTACAGAGAGCGAAAAATGGGCTTGCGGCTTGAAATGGCAAAACGGAATACCTCCTAGTGAGTAAACCCAGTCAGCAGACACCTCGCTACTTGAAAATCAGGCTGGAGAGTTGGTACAGTACTAGATAATTGTAGAAAGTTTAGCCATTCTCTGCGTACTTGATACAGCACCAAGGTATTATTGCAACCAAGTATAATACTATTGACATTTTCTTTTCATTATTCAATAAATCTGAAGACAGATAGCTAATTCACTGTGGTTTATTGTAGCTCATCAGATTCAGCAACGTCTGGTTTTAAAAGTGAGATAACAAACCAAGGCAGCATATATTATATTTCTACAAATATCTTGTTCCCACCCAGCGTGTCTTTTGAAAGTAAAAATAGCACCACAGTTGGAGTGTGTGCACACAGATGCAGACATTTATTTTTTGGAAATATCTATAGACTGCGGATTCATTAAAAAATACAGCAAGGCAATATACAGCACATAAAATTACTATAAGATTTTTTAAAAAATCATTATAAACACCATTTTTAAAAAATCAATAAATACAGGTTGGTAAAAATAATTTCACATTGCAAAGGCTTGTCTGAATATTACAATTTCAGGAGATGTATAAAAGAAGGCAGGAGCGTTTCCTGCTGATCCTCTCTTGGCAAGGAGTTCCACAGGACAGGGTCTGCAACACTGAAGGCAGCAAACCTATGAATGACATCTGTCCATATAAGGAGACAAAATATTCTCTATTGAGTCCTATGTTGAGCTGGCTTCCAGAGAGTGCTGCATCTACTTAAAGATCACACGGTACATTTTCTGACACATTTTGTTTTGGGGATATGAGACACAAAACTTCCCAAATACAGCCACTCTAATTGCAAACAGTCAACAGCCTGTAGCAACATCTTGTTCTAAAGGGATTCTGATATAAAGCTAGTAGCCTTACTAAGATGAAACCTGAGTGAAGCCCATCAGGGGTGGCTGAATTGGTCATGCTCTGTCCTGGAATGTACATCTCACAAATTAGTTGGTTCCTTCATTGAGGAGGGCTTAGCAGGCATCGCATAGCGGAGCTTCTTCCAAAACCTGGAATTTAAAGCGAGTGACTTCTCTTCTTTCCATTTCAGCACGTGGCTTGGTGAAAGAAGTTTCAAAGACTTGGGCAAGAAATCAAGGTCACGTATAGGCATATATTCTATTAGTATCACTTTAATGTTCTTCTCAACCAAGGCCTTGTGAAGCCCAGTTTCAAGTTCAAACATGACTTTGTCAGAGATGTAGTTCTTACTCAGTATGATGATTAATCTTCTACTTCTGTCAATATATGACTGGACATCATCAACAGCAGCTGCAGGCAGAAGAGGGAGAAGTTATAATGGAAACATCTGAAATAGCATTGGTCTATAAATACATTACACAAATTACAAACATGAGAGGCCTGTGGAAATGTGCTAATGCTGTTTCTTCTGCCACAAAGCAGCATGGAAAAGTTGAAAGTTAATTATTTCTGATTTTAGAATAAAGATTATGTATATATAGTGTGTGTGTGTGTGTGTGTGTGTGTGTGTGTGTGTAACAATATAACTATATAACTATGAGTCGTATCACATTTTACAGCTGGAGAACACTGAGGCACAATAATAAATGACTAGCTCACAATTAGTCAGCGAGTTCATGACAAAGAATTCTTAAGCAAAAAATTCCAGTAAACGGCAATAGTGAGTGATTCTGGGCATGTGCAGAATGCCTTTCACTCACAACCAAGCAATCTCAGCCTCCTCCTCCCCATCCCACGCTTAGAATTAAGAATTTAAAGTCAGAAGTCCATTTTCAACTAAGAAGTCTATTTTCAGCATCAGGACAGAGTCCTGGAGTCAAAGAAGAAAAAGGGAGGTTGCAAATACTTTAAAGGACACCAGTTGTTTTCTTTTGCCCTCGATGAACTGCACTAATGTGATGTTCTGAGGTCTCTGAGAAACTGTGAGGAAACGACTTCTACGAAGGCAGGAAGGCATGTGGGCATGTAAGCGGCAGAACTTCATACCTGGTCTGTGATATTATCAGAAGCAACTCACACTTCCTTTAAATCAACACCACTTGTTAACCAAACGATAAAACCGTCACCTACTATGGTCACAGATTCTTGTTTGGCACAGAGGAATAAACGATCAGCAAAACAAACATCTATGTCACCCTTAAGGGTAACAAGGCAAAGGACTCGCCCTTCTCTGGTAGGCTTCCCTCCCCCTTCCATTACAGAAGGACAAAACATTACATTTCCCCCCAATAACAAACATTTGTAATGCCCTTTCAGCCAGCGAGGCACTGCCCCCCACCTCCAAGAGGAGGTCACTCATTGGTCAATATGAATTGAAGCAGTGGGCAGGAGTTTGAGCCAGCTGCCCAGGCGGCCAAGGCCAGCCACCCGGTAAAAGGGGTAAGCGTCCATTTTTCCTCAATCTGAAAAGCGCCTTAGAATAATGCAGCGGAAAGAAAAGGCATTTCTCTCCTCCAAAATCTTAATATATCTGTCAGATCTAATGTAGCAGGGGACTCCTGTCTGTCAAAATTGATAATACTGGGTGGTCCAGCTCAGTATATGGCAGTTTCATATGTCCAACGTTCTCTCTGGACCTCAAGGACGATGGGGGAAGTAATGTGAATCAAAGCCCAATAGCAGATAGTTGAAAAGATACAAGCTGATAAGGCTATTTCTTCCAGCAAGAAATAGTTCGGGTCCAGACTTCTAAAATGATTGGTTCCCTTGGCAAAACATGAGTAAAGGGGACAATATTAAGTCATCCCACACCCGTGCAGGGCAAATGGTTTTGTTTTTATTCCTTTGTAGACGCAATCTGTTCGTTTCCAAACAACTCAGCATGCACATAAGGTAGAAAAAATATAAATTAACTTGACCTTGGTTTGAATTGTGAAAATACTGAAGTCAGTTGGATCCAAGTCAGAGTTCATTACAAATCTGAAAATTATGAGCAACTAGATTTGACTTATAAATAGATTAACAGATTTCTTCTAACATAGCTCCTAACTGCTCAAGTACACCTTGCATAGCTAAATACTGCTACAAAACATCCCTCATTTTGGTATGCATTTTAATTTTTCAGAAAAGAATCAGGGTTATCACCCATGAAAAGGGGTTATTGGTGCTGTCCTTTAAAGCCCTAAATGCCTTTGGCCCTGTATACCTGAAGGAGCATCTCCACCCCCATTGTTCAGCCTGGACACTGAGGTCCAGCTCCAAGGGCCTTCTGATGGTTCCCTCATTGCGAGAAGCGAAGTTACAGGGAACCAGTGGCACCCGCTCTGTGGAACGCCCTCCCATCAGATGCCAAGGAAATAAACAATTATCTAACTTAGAAGACATCTGAAGGCAGCCCTGTATCGGGAACTTTTTTATGTTTGTTGTTTGCTGTGTTTGATGTTTTAATTTGTTGGAAGCTGCCCAGAGTAGCTGGAGCAACCCAGTCAGTTGGGCAGCATGTAAATATATTATTATTATTATTATTATTATTATTATTATTATTATTGACAATTTTTGCATATTGTCAAAAACTACTCAGTAAGACAGTAACAACACATCCACCTACCTCCTCCAGGAGAGATATCCCGTTCAAAGAGACACAGTTTGTATCCAAAATGTTTTTCTAATATTGTGGGCAATATGTTCAGTGCAAATTTTCTCTCTTCGTCACATATGGGTATAGAGTCTTTCAGGTAAGACACAAATGCATCATATATTTTTCCATCTGGAAAAAATTAATTCACCCGTGAAGTATTTATGTGTTCTTTCTATTTTTAAAAAGACATTCCTTGTACAATTACTGGAACTACCGGTAATTGTGCACCTCCTGAATTTCTTGAAGGTAGCCACCTATCCTTCATTCAATGCAGCCTAATAAACTGAAAGGTCCTTCCCGTAGCAACCGGGGAATGCTGCAACAGAAAAGCTTAAAAAGCAAATACCGTACAACCCTGTCTGCCTCCCCAACCAAGACCTACAAAATTCATTTTTGCTCAGGCAAAACAGCTCTCCACCCACCCCACCCTAAACCAAACCTTACTATGCTTTACCTCCAATCGTTTCATCCTTCCCTGTGACATCTCTGTACAATAAAACAAGGTCAGCTTTGAATATCACAGACAGAACAACCGCAAGAACAGAAACAAGGGAAAGCAAGATTACTGCGATAATTCCAGGGGTAAAGACCCGCAAGGGTATGTCTCGATTCGTTTCTGGAAAACAAAAGGAGGCAACACACAATTGAGACAGAGCCCTCCAAATAAGTACTCTTCTCAAGAAAAACTGCAATAAGTCTATCCCAAGGGTAGCCAACATACCCCTCCAGCCATAGTGTTGCTTCACTACAGTTCCCATAATCCCCCTGGCTGAGGTTGATGGGAACTGGAGTTCAACAACATCTACAGGGCACCACATTGGGGGCCCCTGGTTTATACGGATGCCGGAACACTCTGCTATTAAGTGTTTGCCCAGTATGTTTTTAGGCAGAAAAAGGGATGGTGCATATTGTCGTGCCTCTTGCTTCTGCCCCAAGGTGTAAGCAGGATCCTATGATCTAAGCCCTGTTTAGGGAAGTTTTTTATGTTTGATCTTTTTTGTGTTTTTAATGTTCTGTTGGGAGCCAATTGGAGTAGCTGGGGAAACCCTGCCAGATGGCTGGGGTATAAATAGTATATTATTATTATTATTATTATTATTATTATTATTATTATTATTATTATTACAGTATGATGATATTATCTATCCTCAATTCGTGAGCTCATGCTTCGTCTGCTCTCAAATTCTAACAAACTGAGCCCCATGAAATCCATTTGTTCTTGTTCATTTACAGTCAACATCCAAGAGGCGACCAAAGCGCCCCCCCCAAAAAAACCCCACATGTTTGTTGAGATAATGTGATTGTGAGGAGGAGCGTTTGAAAGAGAGAACTGGTGGGTGCTTCACACTTTCCCCCCTCCCCACCAATTCTTCCTGACAAGCTATCTCCACAGCAAGACTGCATGAGTCAAAATGTCCAGCTTTGGGGGAGGGGGGGAGCATGTCTATTACAATCTCAGACCAAGATCGCCAAGAAAAAGTAGCAGCCCTGTATGTATTTGCCACTACAAACGTTGATCTGTGCTGAGAGATCCGGCACTAGTCTTTTCCCCGGATTACGCCAACACCAGGATGCTAGATCCAGTTAGGGAACTATCACTAATTTTGTCAGCTAAGAGAAACAGCCGCGGGCAGAAACATAGAATCATAGAATTGAACAGCTGGAAGGGACCACAAAGGTCATCCAGGCCAACCCACTGCAAGGCAGGTATTTTTTGGCCCAGCATGGTGCTTGAACCCACAACCCGGAGATTAAGAGTCTCATGCTCTACTGACTGAGCTACCTTTGCCGTTGCTATTTCCCACTTCCTTTCAAATAAGGTAAACTAATTCTAAAAGAAGGGAGCACTCAATTGAGACAGAAATACTAAGTACTGTAGTATTGCACTAATTGTTGTACTATCAACAATTTGAGGCCCCCATCCAGAGGACTGCTTCTTAGGCTTCCACATGAAAGCTCCGATTTTCCTTGCATAAGTGCTTTGCACTTCCGTTGTATCTAGTCCACAGACGGGCCCCAGTTAATATTCTTTGTGGGTGACGGGCATTAGAAGAAAACCATACAGTACCTTTCTGCAGTGTAACTATTTGCTTTTCAGGGTAACCAGCTGCCACAAAATTGCATATGTATGAAAAATTGATGTCCGCCTCTTTAACACTCTTGATCCACAACTGCTTCAAAGAATAGTTTTTCCCTTCTTCTTGACTGTTAGAAGAAAAGAAAAGAATGTGAGACGTCTTTCATCGGTCAGCTTGATTCTTGTAATCTAATTTCAGGATACAAATCTTCAACGGCAGATCACTGAAGAAAATCTTAGAATCATAGAATCATAGTTCAACCCCCTGGAATGCAAGAATCTCAGATCAAGAATCCATAACAGAAGAAGAGCCCTTTGTGATTGTGCTACAGTAGTTTGAGAAATAAACCACCCTCTCCAACTAAATAAATCTTCTTATTGCAGCTTCATTGGGTACTTCCAAACTAGAGGCTGTGCCCAATATTAGTAATGCTCAGAGTAGACAGATTGAAACAAATGGACCTGATTAACTTGGGTCCATTAATTTCAAAGGGCCCACTCTCAGTATGATTAATGTTGGCTACAACCCTAGATATTTAGTGTGGCATTTCTATGTTTCCTTCTGTCACTGTTTATGGGGGAAGTTCTGTCATGCACAGGGATGATCCTATCATAGTTCACACAATCTTTGCAAGGCACTGCTTTATAAACCCTTTTTATGACCTTTATTTTGCATGAACATGTATTTATGGATATATATATATATATATATATATATATATATATATATATATAATTTAAAAACTATATACCACCTGTTTTGGACTGCTTACACACTATACAGTGGTACCTCGGGTTACATATGCTTCAGGTTACATACGCTTCAGGTTACAGACTCTGCTAACCCAGAAATAGTACCTGGGGTTAAGAACTTTGCTTCAGGATGAGAACAGAAATCGTGTGGCGGTGGTGCAGCAGCAGTGGGAGGCCCCATTAGCTCAAGTGGTTCTTCAGGTTAAGAACAGTTTCAGGTTAAGAACGGACCTCCAGAATGAATTAAGTACTTAACCCGAGGTACCACTGTACATTTAAAGTGAGAATCCTGGGAATTGTTAATGGTACTGGGAATTGCAGCTCTGTGAGGGAGTAAAGGGACGCGGGTGGCGCTGTGGGTTAAACCACAGAGCCTAGGACTTGCTGATCAGAAGGTCGGCAGTTCGAATCCCTGCGACGGGATGAGCTCCCGTTGCTCAGTCCCTGCTCCTGCTGCTCTGGTTTGCCAGAAGCGGCTTAGTCGAGCTGGCCACATGACCCAGAAGCTCCCTCGGCCAATAAAGTGAGATGAGCGCCGCAACCCCAGAATCGTCCGCGTCAGGGGTCCCTTTACCTTTAAGGAAGTAAACTACAGTTCACAGGATTCTTTGCATCAAGAATATTTGATTTATATGTACTTTAAATGTACGGCGTGTATGCCGCCATATTGCCATTTCCAGGTAAAATGGAAATACAGAATATGACATACAAAGTCCAAAGTAAAACAAAAACACTTAAAACCCACAATGGTTAACATTCAGCCAAGCTGAAGTGAGAGAGGTCTAGTGAAGTTAACACCATGCAGGGATAGCTAATATAGGATCCTCAAGATGTGGTTTGACTACTACTCCCATCATTCCTTATCATTGGCCATGCTGGCCCAGGACTGATGGGAGTTGTAGTCCAATAACATCAGACGGGAAACATTAGATACCGCTGCCACAATGCTATAATGTTGATTTTTAAAAAATCCTTTTCAGTATTGTTGCCGTTCATTTTTTTTAACCATTTAATCTTTTTGTAAACCACTTTGAGGTTTTTTTGTTTGTTTTCATAATCAAGCAGTGTATAAATTTATTGAAAGAAGAAGAAAAAGGAAAAAGAAGAAGTGTACCTTATCCAATCCAAAGACGGGGGGGGGGATCTATAACATGCTAAACCAGTTCACAGATAATGCACACAATATGAACACTAAAGAAAGGTGGAAGAGACAGTGAAAGGAATGCAGTAAATGTAAATAGGCAGATAGTTGCAGAGAAGAGCGCAAAATTGAAAGTGATAATTTTGTTGTATTGTGCACCTTCCCAATCCTCTAGACACTTGGTTGAATCCAGGCTCAGGCTATCTACACACTAACCCATTTGTAGCACCAAAAATGTAGTTTTCGTCAATCTGGAACAATCCGTGTAAACATCCTGCTTTCAATCTAAACTGATTCTAGATCCTGCCATGGACACAGCTGGCTATTAAACACCAGTTTGTGTCTGTCGTACAAATAAGCCCCATGGTTGTATTTTATTTTAGGTGGTTAGGTAACAATGCAAGACAGAGAACACAGGAAATCACAACATGCCAAAATGCCAAGGACTATATAAACATTGATACACAGTATTTTTCCACCAACATTACTTACTAATGGTATTCCATTTCACATGGCAAGTCGTTGTCCTCACAGCGACCTATCATGTCATCTTGGTGTGCCCAGTAAAGCAGAAAGTCTTCAACTACATTGTTAGAGTAACCTAAAAAAGCTGTGCAGTTGAGGATTTCCTTTTTACCTAAGCAGAACATGTTTCAAAATTAATAATTTAGGGGGCCTTTAATAAATACACCCAATTGTTATTAAAGCGGAAATGATTGCCTAATTTGTTTTCATTTATTTGTGAAATTTCTGGCCCACCTTCCACTATGTAGGCCCAGGGCAGGAATACAAACATTCCTAAAACTATACAACTAAAACCCCACCGGGTGGTATCTAGCCAAGTCATACTCAGAGCAGCGTTTCCTCGATGACAGTGGTTTAAGTTCAACCACATTTTGCTCACAGCAGACCCATTGAAATTAGTGGACTTAAGTTTGTCATGTCCACTGAATTCAATGGGTCTACTCTGAATATAACTAACAACCCACACCTCAAAAGTAAAGAGTCCTCCGGCTGCATCAAAACAGACAATAAACAATACCAGCCGAACGGCTCCATTAAAATCCTCACCCTTTCCCAACGGCCTGGGAGCAGTTGCTTTGCTTCCAACTCCCATTATTTTGTAGTCCTATATTAAGGTCTTAAGGGTGTTTGCTCCAGATTTTTTCAAGATTTCAGAAGGATACTGCCTCATGAGGAAACTGGTGTGGGTTGCTATCTACCACAGAGATGGAAGTGATATGCATTGTTCGGTTAAATATGCAGTTAAAAGTCTCCCATAAGCTTCTTGTGCAGATAACAGCTATGAAAACTTGCACTCTACATGGCCAACCAAAATGATGAATGGATTGTAAATAAATAATAATGGTTTGTTTAGGTTATGGCGGTTTTGTGTTTCAAATCAACATAAGTCACTTTAAATTTATTTTGTAAAAAAAATTCTACCTGTAATATATGCATGCATGCATAATCTGCAATAGGCAGTCCGCATGGTTCATGAAATACGTCTACTCTGTCCCCACAGTGTATCTCAGGATGTAATGTCTTACCCATCTACACATTTTGGGGACAAATGTGGCAATGCCTGCTGTCTTCACTTCCACGCCACACAACCAGCCCATACAACCACACACACTTACACAACTAGCCTTAGAAAACGTTCTCTCATTTTAGAGAAAGGAAGAGGTACCTATTTCCGTTAGGATGGTATAACTTTCGGATCCAATTAGCCCAGGCTTTGTGATTTCCTCAAGACCTTGGGGGTGCAAAACAGCACGTTACTTAAGCCACCCTTTCCCCTAACAGTTCAGTCTAATGTTGACATATTTGAAATTGGGTGAAATAATGTTGTTGTTATAATTGTTGTTATATGATTTGAAAGTAATATCATCATCATCATTCACATAAATCCAGGGTTGACAAAAAGTGCCTGATAGGAACCTGTCAGCTTACAGAGTGTTGATGCAACAAAGCAAATCCCCTGTGCTGCAGAACAGACAAAACTAGACCAACCAGAAACAACACGCAGCTAATAAAGAACTAGCAATAATCAGTAATAATGTAGTGTTTCACAATATCAAATAGTACATACGTGATGTGTCCAAGTACAGTAGTACCTCGGGTTACAAACACCTTGGGTTACAAACACTTCGGGTTACAAACTCCACTAACCCGGAAGTAGTACCTCGGGTTAAGGATTTTACCTCAGGGTGAGAACAGAAATTGCACAGCGGCGGCAGCGGGAGGCCCTATTAGCTAAAGTGGTACCTCAGCTTAAGAACGGTTTCAGGTTAAGAACGGACCTCCAGAACGAATTAAGTTCGTAACCAGAGGTATCACTGTATGTTAAATCAAAATAGTAAGCATAACCAATCACTATAACAGAACATCGTGGTTAAAGTCAGATGCCTTTAAACAAGCACATAGCGATTAAGGACAGATGCCTTTGAACAGTCAATCAATGTGCTGCAAAAAAAGTAGGTGCTCCAGCAGAAAACAGAAGAACAGTTTTTCCGGATACAAGCACTGTTTTGAAGATGAATCTTCATCAGCGATTAAAATGTCTACCTACAGGTACATCAAATAACAAAGGATCAGCAGACACTGATACGTGTAAAGGCTGCTAATCCTTTGTTATTTGATTACCTATGGGACCTTAATTGCTATGCGCTTGTTTAAAGGCATCTGACCTTAATCGTGATGTTCTGTTATAGTGAGTGGTTACGCTTACTATTTTGATTTAATGTAATAATAATAATAATAATAGTAATAATAATAATAAATTTTATTTATATCCCGCCCTCCCCAGCCGAAGCCGGGCTCAGGGCAGCTAACAACAATAAAACAGTACAAAAGTACAGCACAAACAACACTCCAAAATCATTCATTATAAAATTAATTCAAATCAAGCAACTGGCAACCATTGGGCCAGAGCTCTGCGAAGCATCACATACGCACTATTTGCTATTGTGAAACACTACGTTATTATTGATTATTGCTCATTCTTTATTAGCCGTGTGTTGCTACAGAGTGTTGATGGCAGCTGAGCCTACAGAGAGGAGGCAGAGGGTCTCCAGAAACCAAAGTTAGGCAGACTGTAGGCCCCTTCCATGTATTATCCACACAAAATGGCCTCCACTATAGCCGCGAGCCCTTTGCTGTTTTTACACATGGGAGACCCATTCACGTGGATAACACCTAAAGGTGCTTGTGTGAAGCCTGCATCCCCAGTATCATGTCTTAAAAAACACACCCTAAAAATCAAATACTGAGTAAACAGCAGCATTGCTAAGCACTTAAAAGATTCAGAGCACAGCCACGTGCCACAAACGGACATAAAATTGACACCTGCTAATATGTATTGGGACGCAGGTGGCGCTGTGGGTTAAACCACAGAGCCTAGGACTTGCCTATCAGAAGGTCGGCGGTTCAAATCCCCCAAAACGGGGTGAGCTTCCGTTGCTCGGTCCCAGCTCCTGCCAACCTAGCAGTTCAAAAGCATGTCAAAGTGCAAGTAGATAAATAGGTACCGCTCTGGCGGAAAGGTAAACGGCGTTTCCGTGTGCTGCTCTGGTTCACCAGAAGCGGCTTAGTCATGCTGGCCACATGACCAGGAAGCTGTACGCCGGCTCCCTCGGCCAGTAAAGCGAGATGAGCACTGCAACCCCAGAGTCAGTCACGACTGGACCTAATGGTCAGGGGTCCCTTTACCTTTAATATGTATAGGGGCTCCTGGGTAAGTTGAGATTTAAAGGGTTTAATGCAAAGCAAACTATTGTCCTATTTTTCGCTCCGCCTCTCACCTTCTTTCACTGTTAGTCCTATTGTTTTGGTAGCATTGTATCTCTTTCCTGCATGAACAAATGACTTCACGCATGTGAAGTTTCCAGAATCTCCCGCTGTTAGCTCATCGATAGACCACTCCTCCTTTGTTTGAGGGAGCTTCCTGCAGTCCTGTTTAAAGTGGAGATGTTCCAAAAGGTGTCTTAGAAGCGGCATAAAACATCCAAATACAGTACATGAACAAGTACGCAAACAATGTGGTGAGCCATTCCCTCCCCGTGCATTCTGCCTTCATTATCTTGCTCTAAAGAAACCATGGGTAGGCAAACTAAGGCCGGGGGGCTGGATCCGGCTCAATCGCCGCCTAAATCCAGCCCGCGGACGGTCCGGGAATCAGCGTGTTTTTACATGAGTAGAATGTCTCCTTTTATTTAAAATGCATCTCTGGGTTATTTGTGGGGCATAGGAATTTGCTCATTCCCCCCCAAAAAAAAATACTCCGGCCCCCCACATGGTCTGAGGGACAGTGGACCAGCCCCCTGCAGAAAAAGTTTGCTGACCTGAGTCTAAATATTTTGTCACAACCTTGTAGTTAGTTGTGTGCAGTGGCGTAGCGTGGGGGGTGCAGGGGGGGGCGGCCGCACCGGGCGCAACATCTGGGGGTTAGGGTTATGGGGCGCAAATCCACGGGTTGGGGGTGCAAATCCATGGGTTAGGGGGCGCAAATTACTTGCCTTGCCCCGGGTGCTGACAACCCACGCTACGCCACTGGTTGTGTGCAGTGCTTTTGGGGGGGGGGGTAAAGGGAGGGGAAACTCACCACAAAGTTTGTTCAATTGTTGCAGATCCAGTAACAGTGCCACCCCTACCCCCACCCTACCCCACTTGCTGGGCAGTGACTAAATGTAAGATTTGATTAATAAACTGGATTAGAAATGGCCACAGCTTTATTGAGTACAGATATAGGTGGATTTTTGGGTGCATACCCGTTCCAGCCCTCCAGCCTGCCCCCCCAACAAAAATTAATTATTATTTAATTTTTTAAAAGGTAAGGGAACTCAATTTCCAGAGAAAGCTGTGTTAATAAATACCTTGTACCATGTTATCTTGGCAACATTTGCCTTGTGGTATGTATCATTGCATTTCAGGTGATAGGTTCTTCCAAGAATTCCATGTATAGCAGATGACACGTGGTTGGCATTGAAGCAACTTGTTCTACTTCTTTGGAGGACAATCAAAGACCATTTCTTTGGATTGTGTTTTCCATTGCTGAGAGGAAGGAAGAAGCGTGTGTGTGTGTGTTAAGGTGGTTTTCTTTATTTTCTTACATTTATATCCCGCTTTCCTTCCATGAGAGAACCCATCAAGGCCAGCCCAAGGCATATTTTGACACCTGAGGCAAACCACAAAATGGCGGCCCTCCCCAGCTAGTGGAAAAAAGGTTGAGTGAAGAGGTGGCAGTTGGGGAGGTCACCAAGGAGGCGGCAGATCCGGGCTCCAAGGAGCACACCATAGGCAGCGCAAGTGGGAAATGTATTCCTTGAAGGCTGGGTCAGCTGCCCCTGCAGATCCTGCTCCCTAGGTCGTCCCATCATGCCTCATGGGGTGTGTGAGCCAGCCCTAGATTCCACGACACATTAAAAGCCATTTACACAGACCAGTTCTCTCACAAGGACAAAACCAAATTCACATATTTTGCATCTGCAGTGGTACATTTGTAAATGGTTTTTTGGGCAGAGTTCCTGAATAAATCAGGCATTTAGGCCATTGAAAGTAGGAAACCAAAAGCAAGGAACCAAAACAAACAGAATAATTCATAAATTAGGTGTTGGGGTGGGTGGGAAATTTGTTATTTTATAATAATAAGAATAATAGTAGTAGTAATAATTTTGAGTTATTAGGTTGTTAACAGCCCTGCAATTTCAGATGAAGGGTAGTATATAAATGCAATAATGATTGTGATAGCTCATCATTATCACAATACAGTGGTACCTCGGAAGTCGAACGGTATCCATTCCAGAAATCCGTTCGACTTCCAAAATGTTCGGAAACCAAGGCACGACTTCCGATTGGCTTCTGGAAGCTCCTGTAGCCAATTGAAAGCCACGTAAACCATGCTGGACATTCAGGTTCCAAAGAACGTTTGCAAACCGGAACACTCACTGACTTCATTTCAAGGCACAGAATCACATACTCAAGTGAGGTCTCTGTGACCTAATTTGCGACAGCCACAAGAACCAAGGTGTCAGTAAAGGGGGCAGGAAGAAAACAACAAGCAGCAGCCCAACCCAAGATCTTTGGATAACAGTTATGGTACCTAACTTGACTTTCGCTCGTGGGTCATTTTTAGATTTTAAAAAAGCCATCTGAAAACTGAATTGATAGATGCCACTGAGAAAATTATGTGGGACTCCATACGGCCAAATAAAGCATTTTCTATAAGGCAAAGATGCCTCCCGTTTGAGCCCTTCAGTTGCTCAAAACAACCCAGGTCTCTGGCTTCTTAAACTCAGACGTAGGACTCAGCTATACAGCTGCAAACAAAATGTTTTAAGTGTGTTTTAAGTGCAATATGCAATGTGACACTAGATGGCGATGGTGAGCCTTATGGAAAATTCAATGTATTTTTAAGAACGCTTTATTACAAAAAGCATTTTCAGAGCGTTTTTTTAAGTGTGTAGAGATTCCACCTTAGTCTCCCTGAAACTCACCTGGACTCCCTTTGTTATTGACCCTGCATTTGGATTATGTTTGGGCCTGGACTGATTCCCTAGACCGATTCAACCTCAGTATGTTCTGGTCACTGCTGCACCATCATCCCGGCTCTTCATTGGCCAAGAATTTTGGAAAGGAAACTTATGCCTCTCTGGACTGGCACCCAAGCCCTTGAGAGCAACCCTAGACCATAACATCTATTTGCTTTCAAGTCCTATCATTCACACAGGAGAGTGTTCCTTGTTGTTGCTAGGCAGCAACATCAACAGTGTGTGTATGTGGTACAAAATCAATATCGTTTGCTCTGCACATTCAGGACCAAACGGACATAGCTGGACTTTCCACAGTATGGATTTGGGTGAGGGAGCATCAGTCACAAAAGCTCAGAGCAATAAAGAAAAATATCCAAAATTCATGCCACAATAAACTGATGGGTCACCATGCCATGTAAATTTGGGTTTGTAGGCTGCCATTGCCAAAAAGGTTGGGAACTAACAGGAGACTATTTTGGCATTAAGCAGTATACAAATGAATAAATAAAATACAGTGGTACCTCGGGTTAAGTACTTAATTTGTTCCGGAGGTCCGTTCTTAACCTGAAACTGTTCTTAACCTGAAGCACCACTTTAGCTAATGGGGCTTCCTGCTGCCACTGCACTGCTGGAGCATGATTTCTGTTCTCATCCTGAAGCAAAGTTCTTAACCTGAAGCACTATTTCTGGGTTAGCGGAGTCTGTAACCTGAAGCGTATGTAACCCGAGGTACCACTGTAACTAGCTGTAGAATGGCATCCAGATGGACGCTTCTTGCACTGAGAGTAGCACTAAACCAGAAATCCCCATCTAGCTTTGTTTGGAAGCAGCCATGGGCCTTTTTGGCCCCTTCTGGAGCTAACTGTGCTGCATTAGTTCTGGTACTGGATCCAACCGTTCCAGGCACTTCTTACTGCTAGAGTCCTCGTGTGGTTTGTGAGTGCCAGAAGCCAGCTCTTCTATTGGAAATCATGCAGCTGCTGTCACACGTGGTTCGCCAAAGAGGTGCCGTGATGCTGGCTACATAAGCAATCTGCAACGCTCTCAGTCCAGTATTTCGCAGCACATGTCTCTGCCACGCTCACCTTAAGCTTCAAACGGGGTCATCCCCTTGATGATCCAGGAAACATATTGCTTCAAGGAGTTGCCCAATCCAGAATGCATAACAGGAAAAGGCCCGCTTTCGGAAGAGGGGAAGCTGCTAGTGCTTTACTAACTGAGAAGGAAGTGAAGGAACTCACTGTGAGGGCTCTCCTGACACTGTTGTCTTTCACTGACATTCGCAGTGTAGCAAGTCTCACTCTTGCTTTGAAACCACACCAAGATACAACTAGTAGCAATGTTGCTGAACTGTCAGCACCAGTTAAAAAAAACCTGTTCCATTCTGGCTAAAGGGTGGGAAGGCAGTGTGCTTGTGCAACAGCCGGGGACCCCTAAAGCCTTGCCCTGTTGCAGGGCTGGGAAGGGCAAGGGGATAAAAGCATTGATGCCTGCCTTTCTACTTAATCAGCCTTTTCTTAGGAACTGGGTGTGGAGAGTGGGAGAGGGAATAGTAGAATCTTAGAGCTGGAAGGGACCACAAGGGTCATTGCAAGATTTGGAGGGGGGAGGTGCCGGTACAGAGTACCACAAAAAAAAAAAGCACTGAGAAGGTTCAAACCCTGGTGTTTCCAGGTAGAGCAGGGAGAAAACCCAGCCTGAAAGCTTGGAAAGCCACTGAGCTAGAGGAAAGGCAGCTTCCTATGCAAATATGGACTGCTGTACATCTTCTTTGTGGGACGCGGGTGGCGCTGTGGGTTAAACCACAGAGCCTAGGACTTGCCGATCAGAAAGTCAGCGGTTCGAATCCGCGCAACAGGGTGAGCTCCCGTTGCTCGGTCCCTGCTCCTGCCAACCTAGCAGTTCGAAAGCACCTCAAAGTGCAAGTAGATAAATAGGTACCACTCCGGCGAGAAGGTAAATGTGTTTCCATGTGCTGCTCTGGTTCGTCAGAAGCGGCTTAGTCGTGCTGGCCACATGACCCGGAAGCTGTACGCCGGCTCCCTCGGCCAATAAAGCGAGATGAGCGCCGCAACCCCAGAGTTGGCCATGACTGGACCTAATGGTCAGAGGTCCCTTTACCTTTTTACATCTTCTTTACGTGAAAGGAAGACCTGGCAAAACAGGCCAAGGCCTCCAAACATCTCTCTATATACTCCTCTTGGTACCTACCTGGAATTACACATATAGTTTCCAGTGTCATTCAGCACAGCTGGCCAAAATTCCAAGTAAGTCCCGCTCAACTCAGTTCTGTTGTCTCCTTGAATCAATGTCCAATCTTCTCCTCTTTTCTTATACCAGTGTACAGCATAGCCTCTATCTTGTTCCACCCCGGGACAGCAAATTGAAAAATATTCTCCTTCTGGAATGTTAATGATCGAGCGTATCGGGCAAAGCTGACCTTCAGAGTGTACACAAAGAAACAAATAAATGTGGCCTTTCTTAGAAAACAGGGGGCAAAAGAGCACATCTCATTCTTGGAGCTATGCTAACGCTAGCCCTGATGTAACCTAGCTTCATGAAACACAGCCGTTCCACCTCTTTGGCCTGACTATTGAGACAGGGAACGGAGTATGCTGGCACTATTCAAACAAAACAAGACAGCAATGGCAATGCAGCTCTGAGAAGGGATGGGTCCATGCCCCTGTTTTTGTTTGTAGATGATCCACAATATCTTGCATGTTTGTGCATGAAGCTTCTAAGGAAGGGGGGGAATGCACTAGTGTGCGGAAGATATGGTTAGCAGGGAGAGGTGAAGTGGTGTAGGTGCTTGACCAGTCTTTGGAGATTGTAATGGGTTAGATGAGGACCAATAAACAGAAACTAAATTCCAACAGGGCAGAGGTGCTGTGAATCAGTGGCACCCACATTCAGGAATTAGGTAGAAGGTGACCTGTCCTAGATGCACTTGCACTTCCCCTGAAAGAATAGCTTCATAGTCTGCAGGTAGGGACGCTGGTGGCCCTGTGGTCTAAACCACTGAAGAAGAAGAGGAGTTTGGATTTGATATCCCGCTTTATCACTACCCAAAGGAGTCTCAAAGCAGCTAACATTCTCCTTTCCCTTCCTCCCCCACAACAAACACTGTGACTCTGTGAGGTGAGTGGGGGTGAGAGACTTCAGAGAAGTGTGACTAGCCCAAGGTCACCCAGCAGGAGGAGCGGAGACGCGAACCCGGTTCCCCAGATTACAAGACTACTGCTCTTAACCACTACACCACACTGGCTCTCTTGGGCTTGCCAATCAGAAGGTCAGCGGTTCAAATCCCTGCAACAGGGTGAGCTTCCATTGCTCTGTGCCCATCTCCTGCCAACTTAGCAGTTCGAAAGCATGCCAGTGCAAGTAGATAAATAGGTACTGCTGCGGCAGGAAGGTAAACGGCCTTTCCATGCACTCTGGTTTCCGTCACGGTGTTCCGTTGTGCCAGAAGTGGTTTAGTCATGCTACCCACATGACCCGGAAAGCTGTCTGTGAACAAACACCGGCTCCCTCAGCCTGAAAGCGAGATGAGCGCCACAACCCCATAGTCGCCTTTGACTGGACTTTACCATCCAGGGGTCCTTTTACCTAAATTCCACCTTGTCCCTGGAAGTCTATGCAGTCTCTCTTTCCAAATATGGCTGGTTCATCACTTTCAAAGGGCCACTAGGGACTGATCCACTGCTCCCTGGGCTTCCTTCTTGTGTGAAGGATCAGTCCCTGGACAGCTGGGCCTGCTGATAAATAGTAGCTGGGAGATGAGCCAGATAAGGAACAACTGGGGAAAGAGACAGCTCTTGAGTGAGGCCTCAGAGTGTTTTCTAACTGATGAGGATGGGAAGATAGCCGTGGCTATTTATGTGCAGGAAGAGAGGGACAGCAGGTCTATTGATGTACACAAATTACAGGGGTAGCCTGGTTACTGTGATCCACACTCAAATGACCTCCGGTTTAGCTACTGCAATGCAATGCACTCTACGAGGGGCTGCCCTTGAAGAGGGTTCAGAATTTGCAGCTAGCGCAAAATGTAGCCGCCAGAGTCATGTTGGGTCTGATGTGTCAAGACTTCATGGCACCAATCCTCAAAGATCTGTGCTAGCTGCCAGTTAACTACCAAACCCAGTTCAAGATTTTGGCCCTGACATGTAACTCCCTAAACTGCTAATACCACTGCTAATAAACTCCCTAAACCGAAATACCAGAGGGACCCACTTCTCTATATATCAACCTGCCCATGGCTTGAGACCTGCATGGGAGGGCCAGCTGGTAGGCCCAGGCCCAGGAGGTCTCTAACACACCAGAGGGACTTCTTGGTAACAACCTCACAGTTGAGGAATGCACTGCCCCAAGAGGGTTGGCTTGGTGCCAAAACTCTTTAGGCATATTCTCATCGGTGTTTCCCAAAGTTGGGTCTCCAGCTGTTTTTGGACTACAACTCCCATCATCCCTAGCTAGCAAGGCCAGTGGTCAGGGATGTTGGGAATTGTAGTCCGAAAACAGCTGGAGACCCAACTTTGGGAAACACTGTCCTAATGATTGCCTTTCATAGGGCATCTTTATGTAGAAGTAGACTGCTTACGGAAATTGGTTTTATTTTACTGCACCGTTTATTTCTTTATTGGTTTATATATTGTTGAACTCTGTCCCGAAGATCCTCGGATGAAGGGTGGGATACAAGGTTTTTAAAAATAAAGTTTGAATTATGCAGGGTGGTTGGAGGGGCAACTCAGTATCAAAGGTTAGTCATACCCAGAGAAACCCATTGAGTTCAAGTTATTTAAATCCATGTATTTCAAGGATTCTGCTCTAAGTATCACACCCCACACTCTAATTCCTGAGAAATAAAAATGTGTGCTTTCAGTGAAAATGACATTTACCAATAATAGAACCAACACACTGAAGGACAGTGAGATTACTGAGTAACCACTTTGCATTTACAGTTGTTTTTTTAATTAATGTCTGGAAATGTTTCTGGGGAGCTTTATATGAAGATCCAGAAACAGTGACTTCTATTCTATCTATCTATCATCTATCTATCTATCATCTATCTATCTCTTGCTAAACCTTGTTTAAAGAGAGGAAAAATTGAGTTATACTTACCTAGGCTGGCACAGCTAAGAATCATCAGCAGGAGAACAGACAGATTTCCAACATACATTTCAAAATTAATTTGAGTTGCACCTTCTTTTCTGGAAAAAAAAAGAAAAGTAAAAGCTAGAGGCTTTGATTTTAAAAAGCAGAGTCTGGATTTGCAGGCCGTCTGATTCGTCAGCAGAGGTTTTTATCTAAGGATATGAGTAATATGAGAAACAACTAAAACTGGAGGGGGGGTTAAAAAAAACGGGAAAGTTATTACTACATAAAAAAAGAAAATATTTGCATATTTGGGTATGACTCATTTCGTATTGCTCATGGCTTAATGATTTTGCTGAATACTGTGAATTACTATCACATTCTAGATATGCCTTCTAGATTTAGAGATTAACCACACTGGCCTGGGTCCTAAAGCTGCAATACTAAGCATCAAGTGTATCTACACTGAGGGTCTTTAACAATGGCCGCTCATTATTCTCCCGCTTTAAGCTAAATAATTTTCCATGCCGCAGAAGTTACATCCTCCCATCTTCTGTCATATCAATGTCCACACACAGGCAGTGCGGTGCAGTGGTTAGAGTGTTGGACTAGGGACCTAGGAGACCAGAGTTCAAAACCCCACTCAGCCACGAAGCTCAATGGGTAACTTTGGGCCAGTCACTGTCTCTGAGCCTAACCTCACATGATTGCTTTGAGGATGAAATGGGGAGGTGGAGAATTGCACTCCGAGCTCCTTGATGGAAAGGTGGGGAGGTGGAAATAAAAGAAGGAACCATTAGATATAATTTGCAGACATGTGCCTGGATCCCACGGACATGACAGCAACAGTCTAGAAGTACCGTTAGCCCCTCTACCTGCGAACTTGGGCTGCTTTCAGATGGTCTCGCTGTTTTGTGAGTGAGTGTTGAGGAGAGAGCAGCAAAATCAGGCTGCTCAATTGAAGAGGATTTGTCTGAAAAAAGAGAAATCTCAACACACTGTCCCCTATCCCAGTTGACCACAACGTCATATCATTTCCCCGCAAAAAAAAAAAAAGAGAGAGAAAATAAACAGTAAATATCAGGAGCCTTGTAACCTACCTGGAAACTTTGTACAAAAGCAAAATCAGGAGAAATGCTCAAATTAGCAAGTTGTCTGGAAGCCACAGCAATGCAAATCTTTAAGCAGAAGAAAAGTCCTACTGAGCGCAACGGGTAAGCATGTTTAGGATTGGGGCCGCAGATTTCAATGGGTCTTAATCCCCCCCCCAAAAAAAACCCAAAACTGTATAGGACTGCGCAGCATTTTGTTTGCAAAGCGCGCAACACGTCAGCTACTACCACTTGCGCGACCATATAACCGAGATAGCAAGAGGGGGGGAATCGTCCCTGCGAGAGCTGCGTGCGCCTTACCTTACGGAAACCAAGCGGAGCGGAGAATCGGGAGTGAACGAGGGAGACGCGGCCGGCTCCTTCCTACCGAAAACTTAGCGCGTCGCTTGGAAGGCAGACATAGCAACAAAAAACAAAACCCCAGCAGCAAAGGGAAAACGATTGATTTTCTATCCAAACCGTTGATTTGCGTATCTAGGCGATGCAAGCCGGCAGAGGGCTCCGTGACCAAGGCGGAAGAGGGAAAAGAAAGGATCGGGTCCTAAATCTTTGTGGGGGGGGGGGGTCTTCTTTTTTGAAAAAAAGAAAGAGGCGGCAGTGTTGAGGTTTAGGCTTGCTTGGAAGTCCCGCCCTGTGACCCAGATGCTCGCGCGTGTGCGCAGCAACCGCAGCTGGTTAGGAAAGTATTCGGGTTCCCCTGCCGAGCGAGGAAATTTCCCAGGACGACAGGTTCAACTGCTGGTGCTGCAGTGGAAGAGAAGCGCGCGGCACCTTGGTCTCCTATGATTGGGCGGGGGGGGGGGGGAGTCAATGCATTGCCTTCAGTTTCTAGTTAATGCAGGTGTTGCTTTAAACCACACGACGGCGCTGCTCTCTTGCAAGCTAGCCAGCAGTTGCTTGTAAGTCTCTTTGAAGAAGTTAACTCCCCCGCCCCCTTAGGGATTGCCAACGTTAAGTTAAGTTAAGTTAAGTTAAGTTAAGTTTTAAGTTAAAATAAAATAAAATATTTTTTGGGGGGGTAGTAAACCCTGCTCCATATAATCAATCACATGATGCGGCACACACAAACTATTTGAATGGCAATATTCTTCAATTTGGGGGGTGACCCCTTCAAATATTTTATTGGGGGGAGGCAAAAGGACCTCAGGAGTTGGCTCCTATGCCCCCCCAGTCAGATTTAGGGGAGCACGGCTAGTTCGATCGCACAGGGTGTCACAGGGGAGCAACAACTATTATTCAGAATGGAGCGTGCATGCCCGCATTAGTGCCCTAACTGTTCCCCTACCGAAATATCACTGCACGCCACTGACCTCTGCCCCACAACGCTGTCTAAGGGGGCTGAAGGGAGTTGGAGCCCAACAACTTTTAGAAAGCTCCAGGTTGAGAGAGCCTGAGTTAGAGAGGAATGTTTCGAAAGATCCAGGACAGTGTGCAATAATTTGAAAAAGAGGGGACGGAAAATTCCTTCAAGAGTAGAACCACCCCCAACCTCTCTCACCAACAAAGAAATGCAAAAGGTGAATAGTAAAGAGAACCCACACAAGTGACGCTGACACAAAACCCCACACATACACTCAGTAGAAGAATAGAAGCATTGCCACCCGACCCCACCCCTCTCACTGCTCCCCCCCTCCACCTCTTCCCCCCTTTTCTTCCTAACCTGACTTGGTATGTAACACTAATGTCTCCCAACAAATGAAACGGATCTGTAGAAAACGCAACTTGAAAAAAGGGACAATGCACGTGTTTTTGTCAATTAAGAAAACTTTCATTTAAAATACATTTTGAAAAGAAGACATAAAGCGTGCAGATCATTTTGCTGTCTCAAAATTTAAGTGCTAGCCTGATAGCCACAAGCAACAGGGAACTGCAGGCCGCGAGCCAGAGTGCTCCACCCTTCCCCTTACACCTAGCAAAGAAATGTAGCAGGCTGCTGTAAGAGGCTCACAGCGAACTAGCGAACATTCATGGAAGCTAGTCGCTTTTGCGGGCTTGTTTACAGCAAACCATATGCAGGATTCGCTGTGGTTGGCTTCTTTGAACGACGCCTCCATGGCATTTGGTATTCCACGTGCTTCCAAAAGGCAGTGTTGGGTGAGGATGGAGAGGCCATGTATTTTGCTCTCCATTTTATAGTTCCTTGCTGGTGAATGAGGTGCCTGAGAGACTCCTGCAGCCGTTCGTAGTCCCCAATTTCCTCCATTTCCAACAGAATCACTTTCACGTTATTTTGGATGAGGACGTTGTAGAATGCGATCTGATGCTCGTACGCAAAATGTTCCCTCTTGGCCAGCCATTCTGTTAGAAGGATGATCAGTCTTCTGCTCTTTTGTATTCTGCTTTCAATTGCACTAATAGCATCTGCCAATGTATAAAGTACGTAGTTAAGAAATAGCACAAGACCTTTCCAACTCTATGGTGCATGTTTCAGAAGGCTATTAAAAATCTCTGGCTCAGAAGATACCCATTATACCAACACTGGCCACTGCATCTCAAGTAAGGAGCACCAGCGGTGCAGTCTGTCTCTGGTTTTTCCAGTGGTTTCTTGTGACTCTTAGAATCAGAGAGTTTGGAAGAGAAAGCTAGAGCATCCTCATCAGATGGCTAGCTAGGCCTCCGCTTGAAGACCTCCAGAGCCTACCATGCCAGAATTGGACTATTTCTGGCGCAGCTTGAATTGAGCCTTGTCTACTAAGGAAGAGCCCCCACCACAAGCAGGGCTTGCTTTCGGTGCTGAATATAAATTCAGTGCCAATTGCAAGCCCTGCTTGCAGAGGAACAATTGGAACACACTCTAATGCTCCTTTGATGTCAAAGCTCACCAGTGTTGAAGCAATGATTCTTCAACATCAACTTCGTTGGACTGGTCATGTTGTGTGGATGCCTGATTATCGACTTCTGAAGCAACTACTCTATTCCGAACTTAAAAACCAAAAGCGTAATGCTGGTGGCCAGCAAAAGAGATTTAAAGACTCTCTCAAGGCAAATCTTTAAAAAAGTAGTATAAACACCAACAACTGGGAAACACTGGCCTACGAGCGCTGCAATCAGAGAATAGCCTTTGCCAAAGGTGTCATGGGCTTTGAAGATGCTCAAACTCAGAACGAAAGGGAGAAATGTGCTTGGCAAACCCTCATCGTGATCAACTCCCACCCGGAAACTAATGTCCGCACTGCGGAAGGACGTGTGGATCCAGAATTGGCCTCCACAGTCACTTACAGACTCACTGTTAAAACTGTGTTTATGGAAGACAATCTTACCTGGCTACAAGTGATCGCCAAAGAAGAAGAAAGAAGAGTTCGATGGCTGTGGCTGGGGGCCCAGGAATGCCAAACAAACAGGCCTTATTTGACCTGTGAGCTGGAGGTTCCCCAGACCTGTTCTAGATTATATTTTATTTCAGCTCCCATCATATCTGAATCAGGCTGGTCCAACAACACCTGTGTAGGGCCGCAGGTTCCATATCCATGATCTACCATACTGAAGCTCTGTGTTGACTAGCCTTTATTCACAGGCTAGTAGTGGTATGTAGCTGAGATCATGGCAGTACAATTTGTAATTCACAGCTTCCTCATTGCACAGCAGCTTACCTTCTCCAGGCAACACGTCTCTCCCATAAATGCACAATCTATACCCGCATTGTTTTTCTAAAACCTCCGGTAGAATCTGATGAACAAAAGAGCCCATAAAATTATTTTCATAAGTGTCATTTGTGGGATAGATAACATATGCATCATGTGCTTTCCCATCTGCGAAATAAAACAAGAAATAGGTGCAAAGCTGAAGTATGAATTTTAGAAAGCTGTTATTTTTCAAGTTAGAAATGCAGAATTCATTTGGTTGTACTGGTTAAACAGCCGGATTACAGATTATTAGCACGCCTGTTTGTAAATCATGTACCATATATGCAGCATGCTTAGCACAATTTTTAGAATGTACAAGCGTGAAAAGAATATGGATAGACTTGAAATTATTCAGCCTACTGAATGTGAATAAAGTTGCATGCACCATAGCATTAATTGCGCATATTTGTTATACTACAGTGGTACCTCGTGTTACAGACTCTTCAGGTTACAGACTCCGCTAACCCAGAAATAGTACCTCGGGTTAAGAACTTTGCTTCAGGATGAGAACAGAAATCGTGTGGTGGCAGCGGGAGGCCCCATTAGCTAAAGTGGTACCTCAGGTTAAGAACAGTTTCAGGTTAAGAACGGACCTCCAGAACGAATTAAGTTCTTAACCCGAGGTACCACTGTATTTAGGTTTATTATATCAAATTAGTAAAGCCAAAGAGGGGAAATGAATTCCAAGAACTTGAAAGCACAGTCCTTAGTTGGGGCAGATCTACTAGGAAACCAATGAAGCTTAAGCCTCAGGGCTCCTAATCCCAGAGGGGCCCCAGAAGATAATTCAGTCCACATTGCTTAAAATCTTAGGTCTAGTAGACCCAGTTTGAGTTGCACAACTCAAATTGATTATTTTTTGTTGTATATGTTTCAACAACCCCAAAGTTTGAGAGTGAGTGGCAAAGATGTTGTAAATGTGGGATTCTGGGCGGTGCACATGATTCTCCCCATCCCTTTTGATCCTCACAAGAAACCTACGAGGCATGTTCTGCTGAGAGACAGTAACCGGCCCCAGGTGAGTTTCATGGCTGGGTGGGAACTGGAACTCTGGTCTTCCAGGTCATAGTCCGTTACACCACACACTTCCAAATTCAAGGGAAGCAAGTGCCAAGTGATAAAATCAACATGTCATGTGCCTTCTGAAGCAACTTGATCCAATTTAAGCCACTCCTGGTATTGCCATCGAAACAGAGTTAGTCCATCCTTTCCCACCCATTCTAGCTTTTCATTGCTCTGCTCCCTGAAAGCAAATTTGCATTCCTCTTGTATAATAATAACAATGATTTTTTTTTTTATAACATCAATCCTGAAAGCTTCCCTAAACAGAGTTGCCTTCAAATGTCTTCTAAAAGTCAGATAGTTGTTTATTTCCTTGACATCTGAAGGGAGGGCATTCCACAGGGTGGGTTCCACTATCGACAAGGCCCTTGTAGTGTGACATCCACTCAGATCCATACTACCTTTTATCAAGTGGTAATTCACCATGGTGAACGTCCAACTACATGAGGAGACAGTCATCTGTAGATCATGGATAAATTCTTGGCTCTGGGACATGCAACTGCTCATTACTGCTTGCACAAACTGCGCATTCATACTCACCATCTCTAGATTTATTGCAGTTAAATGTCCTTCGGACACATAAGACAATGTCAACACGAAAAACATGGTAAACCATCACCAAGATCATTGTAAGACCTGCTAAAATAGCAAACACCACAATCACGTAGGTGTTGCTATGACCTGACGAAAAGAAAATATAGAAGATTACCAAATATATATATATATATCCTGGGCTCTATTTTCACACAAAGCAGCAGTGAAAGTAGAGATGCTAGAATAATAAGTCTGGAGTAGACTAACTGGGATGTCTTGTGTCATGAGAAGGAGGGAAGGGCTGGAGCTCAGAGCCAGCTCACATGCTTTGCTGGGAAAGCCCTTCTCTAAAACTTGGAGAGGTGTTGCTCTGCAGTGCAGACAACACTAGAAGGTCTAATGGGCTGACTTCCTGTGTAAAGGAACTTCCTGTGATGACCTCACTTCAATTAAACCCCTGGCCACCACTTCACAGAATTAGTCCTCCCTCTGTTCCATTATTGCTAGTCTCAGTTCCTGTCACTGCGTATTGATGCTCAGAGCAGCCAAAGGTGTATTGATTTGTGTACGTAGTAACTGTTAGACGTCATCAAATGGGGTCTGAGTTCTGTGGCAACTTCCTGGAAGACATTTGGCAATGTAGTTCTGGACTCTTTAACCGAAGCACTGCAGGTCTGTCCTTGTGCAATAAATAACTATTAAAACTGGAGAGTATCCACAGGTCAAGATGGCATTCTAAGTGTTTCTTATCAGTTAAAAACACCAAGCCTAAACAGCTGCTCCTCCAATGCCTTTTCTCCAATTAAAATATATGACTTTTAAGCCCACATAGAAGAAAAACAGATAAAACAGATATCCTCCTTGCCTGTACATAGCAATTAACATTAACTGTTGAGCCAACTGACTTTAAAACCTTAAAACTGTTCAGAAAAAAGCAAATTAAAACTACAACAGACTATGCATATCCAGGACCAGCAGCCTTACCCATCATCATCTTCACCTAAAGTTCCAGCCTATGGTGAGTTTACCTCTTTGCCCTGAATTTTGACACTTGAGATACATATTTTCAGGTCACTTCGTTATTGTGACCGCAATTGTGTGAGACTGTTACAAAACGTGTTCTTAAATTGCTGTAACCCTGGGACCTTATGATGAAAGGCAGGCAGGAAATCATATTTATAAAAACAACAAATAATCAGTGGGTCGAAAAGCACAATTGTCGCAGGGAGACATCTTTGCCTGGTGCCTCAGAGCTGACACTGGCAGAGAAGGAGCAGGTTAAACCTCCTTAGGAAGGAAGTTCCACTGCCCAAAAGATGGTGGACAACTCAAAACAGAGCTTCTGAGAAAGCTCTTCTAAGTACAGGCCAATATTGGATTGTTGAATGGTTGTTTCATACAGTGATTGCTCCAGAAAACGCACCATGCTAGTGCTTCTGTGTCTTGACTGATAGTTCTCTATTGTCTCTGAAGTGAAATTCAAGGATTTAATAATAAATCTCTAAATGGATCGAACCCTTCAAGTCTCAAAGGCCATTTTGGGATAAGGCCAGTCATTTAATTTTTGTGGTGACTGGGATTCTTACCATCTCTACAGCCAATAAAGGAACTCCTACTAATCTAGCCTATGTAAGAAGCCTAAAGGGTAGAAAGAAAAGATTGGCATCCTTAAATTGGCTGTACAGTGGTATCTCGGTTTTCGAACATAATCCGTTCCAGAAGTCCGTTCAAGTTCCAAAATGTTCAGAAAGCGGAAGCCTCAAAACACAAGCCTCAATACAGAAAACTCAAAATGGAAGCCGCGTTTCCTGTTTGACTTCAGAGGCACATTCGAAAACCAAGGCACTTACTTCCGGGTTTTCAGCATTCGAGTTCCGAAACGTTAGACTACAGAGGCATGCGAAAACCGAAGTACCACTCTACTTAAAAGGTTTTCTCATCGGATGGGAGACGATGTGAGATCTGTATGTCTTCTCCTGGTGGCAAGGAGAACTTGGAGAGTATGATTTTGATCAGACAAACAGCAAGGAGGGAATGGGTGCCCCTTAGATTGCAACTCCCACCATTCCAGATTACTGGCCATGCTGACGTCCCACTCAATTAGCATTAAAGGATTTGCAGATATTGCAAAAGTGGTGGCTTACCCTGGTAAACTTATCATACATTTATAGGAATTTTTCAGCAACTTCTTGGAGGGAGTATAGTGATAGGGGTAACTATAAACATATGTGGAGGAGATGATGGGAATTGTAGTCTCAAAACATCTGGAGGACCAAATTTGAGGAAGCCTGTGACCTAGCCTGTCCTTCCCAGTTGGGTGAGCTTTGCTGCGGCAATGGCCTCCACCTCCTGGCACTCTTTCTGGCTTCCCCACAGAAGCTGCTATGAGAAGGAAGAGGAGGCAGGGTGAGTGGTCCACAGCTGCCACCCTTCCTGCTGCCTTTGGCCACCAGCTCATTTGCACAGTGACTACACAGTGTCTCACACACACATTCCACCCAGCGTTGGCCAGGGGGCTTGCTTGCCAGTGATGCTGCTCATTGCTGGTGGGGCTGCAGAGATGGCAGAAGGCAAAGGAGGGGAGCGACTCTTCCTTGTATATTTAAAATACACCCTTCAAGAACTTGAGTTCCCAGGCCAGAGATGGCTGCATGTTCTGATTCGCTTCAGGCATCAACATTTCTCGAGCTTGCCACACACAGAGCCTGCCCTGGTGACTTGCCACACATATACCCCTGTACCCTGGCAAACAAGTAACATAGTGCTTGTTCCAGCCACTTAAGAGGCACTTGAGGAAGGCCAAGAGCAGGGATGGTGAGAGTTCTGGTGGGAGAGTTCTGAGGGAAATATAGGAACACCGTCCTTCTTACGTTTTGAGATTTGACAGTTGCTGAACAAAGAGAGGATTAAAATTCTTCTCACCTTCACCTGCCCCTTTGGGCACCAGTGTCACTTCTGTTGTTTCGAACTCCAGATCATTGGCCAGGACACATCTAAAGGTTAAGCTGAGGTCTTCTTCTCTCACTTCTGTGATGCTTAATTCAGCCTCCGCAAACTGTCCTTCGCCAGGTACCATATACCTAGTAGAAAGAATGTCATTAGAACTAGCTCAGCTTTGGCAACCAAGAAGTGGGATTTGCTTCACTTGGTGCTCACAATGGGACAGTATCTTTTCAAAGCTAAACAAGAACTGTTGTTGCTGTCATTGTCATCATTCCAGGTTTTAAAAACTGATTCCAACATATATTTTTTGGATTGCAACTGATTTTTTTGTGATATTAAGCTGTTATCGTTTAATATGCATTTTTGTAGACTACTCTAGAAATTCTGGCAGCCTCATAAAAATTAGCTAATTAAATTATTTCTCCCCTCCCCCACCTCCTAACAATGGACATCTTTTTACTTACGATTTATTGGATGTAACAAAGCGGTTGGAATCGTTTGCTTCATCGAATTCCCAAAAGCTTATGGCTATGTCTTGCTTTCCGTGGCCCAGCCATGCCTTACATAAAAGTTGCGCAGGAGAACCTAGAAGGATGAATCCATACATCATCAGCATAAAATTAGACCCCCCCCCCCAGGTCATCCGATGAAACCGAATGGGTGGAGATTTAGGACAGACAAACAAAAATAAACAGCTGAAGAAATAGTATCATTACCAATCTCTACTTCTATAACATCACCATCCTTTGGATATAAAACTTTAGGAGATGTCAGTAAAAAGGAATCTGTGGAAGAGACAGAGATAGAAAACATTAGATTAATGTTTAAGCTGTGATTTCACAATTTAGAATTATAGCTTATATCCATAATATTTTCCAAGTTATTTTAAATACGGCATCACTTAGATTACTTCAGTGTGATATCAGAAGAGCAATCCCTATTGCTTATTTTCAAAAACAAACCAAACCAAAAACAACTCAACCCCACAAATATAAATTAGGATTACTGCTGAGCTCAACTCTAGTAGAATTCAGGCTGCATTTTGGACCAGAACATTCAGAGATTACAGGGAAGACTTACTTTCCAAAGCCATTTTGGGACAAAATTGTAGCGAGGTAAAGGTAAAAAGTAAAGGACCCCTGGATGGTTAAGTCCAGTTGAATTCAACTATGGGGTGCGGCACTCATCTCCACTTTCAGGCCAAGGGAGCCGGCGTTTGTCCACAGTCAACTTTCCGGGTTATGTGCCCAGCATGACTGAACTGTTTCTGAAGCAATGGAACACAGTGACGTAAGCCAGAGTGCATGGAAATGTTGTTTACCTTCCTGCTGCAGCAGTAACTATTTATCTACCTGTGCTGGTGTGCTTTCAAACTGGTAGGTTGGCAGGAACTGGGACAGAGCAATGGGAGCTCACCCCGTTGCACAGATTCGAAATGCAGACCTTACAATTGGCAAGCCCAAGAGGCTCAGTGGGCTCAGGTGGCGCTGTGGTCTAAACAAAATTGTAGCAGCTGGAAGGAAGAGTTGAACCTTCCTTCTCAAGCACTTCAGTCCCAGTCAGAAAACCCCTCTGCTTCTGGCTGCTTCTATGGCACACTCCCATTGATGAGAGCGCTGACCACACAAACTAATCAATTTACACAACAAACACAGTTACAACCCGGGCTTGTTTTTTTTTCAGCTGGAACTTGCCAGAACTCAGTTCTGGCACCTGTCAGGTGGGCACCATTGCTATTATAAGAGAACAAGGGATGCATTCATGGTGAGTTCAGGCACCTTTTTCCCCCATAGAAAAATAGCACTGGTTACAACTGTTAGAACAATCACGTCAGACAGAAATATAGAACAGCATAGAGATTCCCCGCTGTGTCTCACACAGAATGAGAACAGGCCAAATGCTGGAAGTCTGGCATCCAACGCCTCTTGTCCCAATACCAATCTTCAGGTGACCATGAAGATGGATAAGAGGCACTTAAGAGACTGTCTCTTTAGCGCCAATGCAGAAAGAGATCTAACCATGATTGCTTCTACCAAGAGCTCACCATGGTTCCCACTTATCAAAACGGAGCATGCCCGAACCAGATACCTGACAAAGCTCCCACTTGCCATACCAAGAAACGCTTTTACAGAACTACAATTCCAATCGATGCCCTCGGCGGTGTTGGATGGACAGTACGGCAAAGTACATTACGAAGAGAGACTGTGTCTGTGTGGACAACCCTGCATTGAGGACCTGTGCTGTTATTTATTGCAGTGCCTGTTATATATAGACCCAAGAGACCGATTTATAAAACCCCTCTTTACGAATGGAACATATTTGAATAGGGTGGAAAGGGTGAATTGGCTGCTGAGCGACACTGATGACTTTGTTGTAGGATGTGAAGCACAAGAGCAGTCAAGTACAACCTTCCTAGAGTGAACATGTTTGCACATGGGGAGGAATGTTTGTCCAGCCAGCAGGAAAACTTCCTGTTTCCTTCTGGGCTGGGACAGACTTCCTCTGCATGTGACTAGAGGTGGGTGTGGCCACACCTGTGCAGGTAACAACAAAAGTACAGGGCAGGGCAGCCATCTCTCTCTTTTTCACCACATGCATCGAAGAAACATCTACTAAGCCAAAGATGCCCTCTTGGCTTCCAGCCAAAAGAGGACAAAGGGACTGTCTTCTTATGAGATAGATTCCAAGTGTATGTTACTTCATTAAGCTAAGTCTGCCTTCTGAAATCTGATTGTGAACAGAATGTGAGTAAACTCTTTTTATACTTTTGTAGAAGACTGTGTCGTGTCTTATCTTTTATGAGGGAATAAGGGGAAAATACCAGAACAGTTATTATAGAGGCTTTAGAGAGCCTGAGCAAACGCATCCACTGCAAAGTTTAAAAATAAGGGGAATGTTACTCTGCTGAATTGTGGAACTTGTTAACACAAGTTGGATAAGGATATAAGCAGACAATATATCCTCTCCTGCATCCCTGAACATTCCCGCATTTGTTACTTATAAAGTAGCACTCTATGCACTGGCAGCTAAGAAGATCAGGAGGGAAGAACTAGATAAAATAGCAGTCAACTGCAAAGGGGATTCGGATATTTAATTTCGCACATCTTACCTGAGAATCTTCTGCTATTCCATTCTATTTAATGCAACAAATGATTTTATGGTTTTATTGTATGTGTGGTGCCCAATGATTTTTATGGTTATTGTTGTGTGTTTTTTTGTTCTCTTTCTGAATGATGCCATGACCTATGGCTAGTGCAATAAAGAGTTTAATTGAATTAACTAGAACAGCATAATACTGTAAAGACTGGCTCAACACCAGTTTGTGCTAATAGGACCACACTATCTTTTTAGGAACCAAAGCAACCTTGGTATGTACAAACACACTACGAAATATTTGTTTGTTTGTTTATCGAAGAAGAAGAAGAAGAGTTTGGACTTGATATCCTGCCTTTCACTCCCCTTAAGGAGTCTCAAAGCAGCTAACAATCTCCTTTCGCTTCCTCCCCCACCCCCACACTCTGTGAGGTGAGTGAGGCTGAGAGACTTCAGAGAAGTGTGACTGGCCCAAGGTTACCCAGCAGCTGCATGTGGAGAAGCGGGGAAGCGAACCCAGTTCACCAGATTATGAGTCCACTGCTCTTAACCACACCACTGCTGGCTCAAACTGGTTAATGTCCACTATCATCTTACCTGTAATTGTAAAAGGCGTTGTTGCTGTTACTGGAAATGCTCTTCCACCATGGTGGTATGTAAACTGGCAAGTATAGTATCCACTGTCACTTTTAATTGCATCAGAAATGTAAAGGATGTTTTTAACCGCTTTGTACCTTGCTCCATGAAGAAGTGTACAGTCCTAAAAAACAGAACATATATTCATTTTTCACCACTGTTTAAGAGAATGTGGGGAGTGTTCATGGTGAGTTCTGCCACCTCTGTCAACAAGATTGTAGTCAGAACAGAAAACTGAGACTCAAGAGGGAAGGATCAGCATGTTCAGAGGAGCCAAAGTTTCCAGAAGTTCATAATGCCTCTGCAAGTAAACTATCTGCATACTTGGGGCCGTGGGAAATTATAATCTTAAGGACATCTTACACCTTGACTGCTATAGCCGAGGAGCCCAACCAAATGGTGCACAAATAAGTAACAGCAAACAATAAAACAATATTTTAACATTGTGTGCTGCTGTGTTTGTGATACCATATTGTCAACAGCCGTGTAGTCCCTTATTGGGAAGAAAGTCGGGATATGTATGAGGAAATAAATAATGATCTACCCATGAACAAGACTACTGCCATTTCCAGGGCAGTGAAGGATGACAGAACTAGTGTGTGACCTCAGTGGTGGATGTTGGGGTCTCAAATTTAGCGGCCCTACACCTCTTGTGCTCCACTGCAAATCACAGTTGCATCATCCCTGGCACGCCTGAGACTCTGAACCCATCGCACTTCCCTAAATCCACCACACAGCTCACTCAGTAATATGCCGGAGAGTCTCATGGTCGTGAATTATACCTATCAAGCCAGCCTGGGCATGAATGCTGAAGTCCTCCAAAATTTCAACGCCAAGTCCTAAATTTCACCTGCACAGTCAGAAAGGGAGTGTGCGAGCCTCGTGTCAGATTAATACATTCAAAAGTGGTTATGTTCAACACTTACTTCCTGGCAGAGGAGATGGCATCTCAGCAGGTAATTGAGACTTTCCCTTCTCGTGCTCTAAAGGAGGCTGGTGCTACACAGAGTACCGTCAAGTCCAACACTGTATGTCTAGAACCATACAGCCAGATATCGATGATACATACCTTGAACCACTTCGTATCAGATGCGTTCTCATAGTCATTATAAGAAGGGCAGAATATTTTAGCGGATCCAGGGCTTCCAGTTGTTTCCAAATAAAGAGCATCTTCATAATAACAAGTGCCTTCTATATTTGGATTTATTATGACACTCACCGTATTAGGAGCATACCTGTAAACACAAAGCAACTCCCATATATTTTCTTAAGATATATTTTCTTAAGCTACTTTAAATGAATTCAAATTTCCAGGGCCTGATGAGCTGCATTCAAGGATACTAAAGGAGATTGCAGGTGTAATTTCAGAGCCTTTGTCTATTATCTTTGAGAATTCTTGGAGAACAGGTGAGGACTGGAGGTGGGGAAATGTTGCCCCCATCTTCAAAAGGGGATGAAAGGAAGACCCAGATAACTACCGACTAGTGAGCTTGACATAGATGCCAGCGAAGGTCCTTGAACAGATAATTCAACAGCCGGTCTGTGAGCATTTAGAAAAGGATGCTGTGCTTACTCAGAAATAAGTCACGCCAGACCAATCTGATTTCTTTTCTTTTTTTATGGAATTACAAATTTGTTGGATCAGGGAAACGCTGTAGACATAACGTAGCTTGATTTCAGTAAGGTTTTTGGCAAAGTTCCCCCATAATATTCTCATAAGGAAGCTGGTAAAATGTGGGTTGAATGTGGGTAACTGTTAGGTGGATTTGTAGCTGGTTGATTGACTGAGCCCAAAGAGGACTCATTAATGGTTCCTTGTCATCCTGGAAAAAAGTGACAAGTGGGGTGGGCCCATTCTGGGTCTGTTGTTCAACGTCTTTATAAATGATTTGGATGAAGGAATTGAGGGGATGCTCATCAAATTTGCAGATAACACCAAACTGGGAGGGTAGCTAATGTCACAGAAGACAGAATCAGAATTCAAAATGACCTTAAGAGGTTGGACAACTGGGTGCAAGCTACCAAATGAATTTCATTAGGGACAAGTGTGAGGTTCTGCACTTAGGCAGGAAGAACCAGATGCACAAACATAGGATGGGGGACACCTGGCTTACTAGCGGTATATGTGAAAAGGATCTAGGGGTCTTGGTAGACCACAAGCTTAACATGAGTCAACAGTGTGATGCAGCAGCAAAAAAAAACAAAAACAAGCTACCGCTATTCTAGACTGCATCAACAGAAGTACATTTTCCAGATTAAGGGAAGTAATAGTACCACTCCATTCTGCCTTGGTCAGACCACACCTGGAATACTGTGTTGAATTCTGGGCACCACAATTTAAAAAGGATGTTGACAAGCTAGAACATGTGCAGAGGAGGGCAACCAAGATGATCAAGGGTCTGGAAACTAATCCTTACGAGGAGCGCTTGAAGGAGCTGGGTATGTTTAGCCTAGAAAAGAGGAGACTGAAGGGAGATATGCTAGCCATCTTCAAATATCTAAAGGGCTGTCACATGGAAGAGGGAGCATGCTTGTTTTCTTCTGCTCTGGAGGGTAGGACCTAAAGCAATGGCTTCAAGTTACAGTGGTACCTCAGATTACAGACGCTTCAGGTTACAGATGCTTCAAGTTACAGATTCCGCTAACCCAGAAATAGTACCTCGGGTTAAGAACTTTGCTTCAGGATGAGAACAGAAATCGCGCAGTGGCGGCACAGCGGCAGCAGGAGGCCCCATTGGCTAAAGTGGTACCTCAGGTTAAGAACAGTTTCAGGTTAAGAACAGACCTCCAGAATGAATTAAGTACTTAACCTGAGGTACCACTGTACAAGAAAGGAGATTCTGACTAAATATTCTGAAAAACTTTCTGTTCAGCAGTGGAACAGACTCCCATGAGAGCTGGTGGGAGTCCTTGGAGGTTTTTCAGCAGAGGTTGGGTGGCCATCTGTCATGGATGCTTTAGCTGAGATTCCTGCATTGCAGGGGGTTGGACTAGACGACCCTTGGGGGCCTTCCAACTCTATGATTCTATGACACACACTCATGCAAAGCTTTTGCTCGTTTTTTACTTACTCAGGATGGATGCATGTATAATTTCCATTGTCCTCAATGGATGCAGGGCAGAAACCAAAGTTCATTCCCAGAAGCATGTATTCGGGCCCTTTTGTCTGTAGAGATGGTTGTATCCCCACGCTGCCAGACCACAGTGTCATGCACAGGGCACTTTACAACAAAAGCCTCACCTGCTATTGTAAGCCCTGCAAACATACATATAGATTCAAAATTCCTTTGCAAAATATCAAGTGCTGGGGGCTTAGACAAAAACATTTTGCATACCTACATCAGGAGAGATTTCCTAGCTTGTTTAATGCTGCTGGTAATGTCATACTAAAAATAGTAACTGTGTCTTGAAAACAAATGCAAAACAACAACAACAACAATCATCTACATGTGCCCTCTTCTGGATTAGGAATTGCACTTTTGACATGGACATGATCCATCTCATGAATCTTCCCACCATCCCAGTGCAAAGTGCATCCCTATCAAAAGATCTATCAAAGCAGTTCAATGAAGCCCAAATAAACACAGTGACATAGGTAGGCATCCATCTGCACTGGCTGAGTGGTCGTAGAACCTGGTTTTCACTGATCAAATAGCAGTACTCATGGAAACTGGATTGGGGTGTTTATGTATATTTTAAGGAAATTTTTCAATGGTAATGGTGTCACATCAACACCAGAAGAGGGAAAAACTTAAACATGTAGCAGAGTTCAGCAGAGTTCCCAAAAAATAGACCAGAGGCAATTGTACTTCATCCAGCAGAGCTTTACTGATACTGAAATCAGGCATAGCCAAACTTGGCCCTCCAGCTGTTTTGGGACTACAATTCCCATCATCCCTGACCACTGGACCTGTTAGCTAGGGTTGATGGGCGTTGTAGTCCCAAAACAGCTGGAGGGCCAAGTTTGGCCATTCCTGGATACATAATGGTCACAAATCCAATGCAATCAGGATTGGCACAGTCCATTAAAAAATCCAATTGCAGCATTTAAAATAAACTTACAAACGTAGAATAAGATTAAACCTTAGCACTAAGCATACAGAACTGAACATAAGAACAAAGGAAGATGAAGCAAGAATGGGAGCCCAGGCTCCTCATTGCCTTACTATAATAGTCAGCATGACCATGACAGAAACATAACAGAACCAGTTTAATACAGCTGAACACAGCTTCCCAGAGAAATAACCCAACCATCAGAAACCTTATTCCTGTTTCTCTCACATAGAAATAAACCTTTCCAGAACACTCTTGAACTAACCAGAATAGGAAAGATTTCTACACATCAGATTAATACTTTCTGCGCTAAGAAATGAAAACTGACAAATGGATGTCTAGATCATTCTAGTTTAGACGCACAACTGTGACCAGCAGTTCATTCATTCAACAGAATGAATCAGTCATATTCAAGGTATTTCTGTGAGTAAAATCAGCGCAGAGTAAGACTTACAGTATTGCGGTTTCCCAGCAATAGCAGAGAAAGCCATGAGCAAGATGAAATACAAGAGAGTCATTGTGTTGCTAAATTGGGGGGGGGGGACACATTAGAAAAGGGAAAAAAAGAAAGCCCTGTTATTTGACTCTTCAAAATTATCAGCATGCTGAAAGAGAAACATCTACATTTTTTCAATTGGAAAGACATTGTTTTGCAAAATTCCACCTGAACAACTTGTGCCTTGTATTGAATACTTGCACAGCATTTCAGTTTCAGCTCAGAGACTGATATTCAACACAGCGAGTAAAAAAGACAGCTCCATAACTAATGATGATGATGATGATGATGATGATGATGATGATAATAATAATAATAATAATAATAATAATAATAATAATAATAATTACTATTATTATTATTTATACTCCGCCCATCTGGCTGGGCTTCCCCAGCCACTCTGGGCGGCTTCCAAAAAAATATTAAAATACTGTAATACATCAAACATTAAAAGCTTCCCTAAACATATTCCACATTTCTTTCACAGTAGCACTTTTATCTTCTTTGTGGAAATCCCCTCCCACTTTCCGTTTTATGAAATAAGTTAAAATATCTGTTTGTGAACTGCTTAGTAGCTGAATGTTGGAACCAAATGTTCCAATATTCAGAATCATGATTCAAATATTAATATAGGATCTGGCTATAAGAAAATAATATCCAGAGCTGAGACTGTCCTGCTGGAATATCTAGAACGCAGTACACTGGCTGCATACACACCCCACATTTAAGGCACACCCCCCTCAAGAAACCTGGGAACTGTTGCTTACCCCTCAGAGTGCACCCATAGCAAACTACAGTTCCCAGGACTGTTTAAGTGGGGGATGCGCTTTAAATGTATAGTATGCATATATAGGGGACGCAGGTGGCGCTGTGGGTTAAAGCCTCAGCACCTAGGACTTGCCGATCGAAAGGTCGGCGGTTCGAATCCCTGCGGCGGGGTGCGCTCCTGTCGTTCGGTCCCAGCGCCTGCCAACCTAGCAGTTCGAAAGCACCTTCGGGTGCAAGTAGATAAATAGGGACCGCTTACTAGCGGGAAGGTAAACGGTGTTCCGTGTGCTGCGCTGGCCTGCCAGAGCAGCGATGTCACGCTGGCCACGTGACCCGGAAGTGTCTGCGGACAGCACTGGCTCCCGGCCTATAGAGTGAGATGAGCGCACAACCCTAGAGTCTGGCAAGACTGGCCCATACGGGCAGGGGTACCTTTATGCATATATAACCACTTACTATTGCAATGCTACTGTCCATGGTGCCACAACAGAAATGGAAGTTGTGCAGCCATCAGCCAGCTGTTGAAGCAAACCACCTTCATTAATTCATTCATTTTATTTGTAAGCTGCTTTTACACACACACACACACACACACACACACACACACTGCAAGCAGCTTACAAACCAAGAAACATTACAAAACAATTTCATAACAAAATAACAAAGCAAAATAACAAGATTATGTAATGATCTTATCCGAGCATTTCTGAGTGCAAGGATTATCTCAACGTATTTCTTTATTTATGAATTTATAAGCTGCTCTTTACGACAAAGTATAACAAGGCAGAATACAACATATCCTAATTTATTATTATTATTATTATTATTATTATTATTATTATTATTAGTGACCCACCGACTGAAGAGTGTGAAATGGAGAAACTTGGCAGGTTCCCTGTTCCTCTTCCTTTCACTGAGATGCTTAGCTGATCCAAAACGCTAAAGGGCTTTCATTATATCTATAGCTGAGGCTCCTCCTCCTGTGTGGTTTGTGAACTTACCAGCTATCAGTGTCATATGAATGCTGTGCAGATAAGGATTTTGTTAAGTAAGCAAAGCAGCCACCTCCTCAAATTGCAAAATTATTTCCTGAACTGATATTGTTTACAAAAGTTCTGTGCTTTCCCATCTCTCTGCCGAGCGGTGGCAAGAGCCTTGGGGGGTTCCAGGGTCTGTGCTTCTTCGGAGAATTGAGACACAGCAGAGATAGTCATAGATTTAAGAAATATGGGTTAATCACCTATTTAAACCTTCAGTCTTAGGGAGGGAGTCCAGATCTTACAGCATGGTCATTTCAAGAGAGAATTGTCCCCCACAGCAGTGCAGCCAAGGCATCTCTCCCAGCCAGCCTTCCCAAGATGGATCCCGGACTCTGTTTCTCCTTCTCCTTCCCAGAATCCCTTGCTACCAGACTCCTTTTTCCTGTCACTTCAACATCCCCCATCACCTTGGCAACATCTGTCTCCTCAGACCAAAGGATTGCTCTCAGATGGCCCATCAACACTTTTTGTCATGTTAACAGATTTGCTCTTCACTAGGCCAGCCAGGGATTCCTTGTCTGGCCCAGTTCTGCAGCTAGAACTTTCATCCATATACCAGTTGATCAAAAGCCAACCATTTATTAATTTCTAGGATTTAGGGGCCCCTTCATGGATCACTGCCTTGCCGTGGCGAAGGGGCTTGAAGAACTCTGAGAAGCTATGCAGGGCCACCCAAGATGGACAGGTCATAGTGGAGAGTTTTGACCAAATGTGATCCACCTGGAGCAGGAACCGGCAAGCCACTCCAGTATCCCTGCCAAGAAAACTCCAAGGACAAAGACAAAAGGCATATAAAAGTTATGACGCTGGAAGATGAGCCCCTCAGGTCGGAAGGCGTCCAACATCCTACTGAGGAAGAGCGGAGGACAAGTACAAGTAGATTCAGAGCTGATGAAGCGGCTGGGCCAAAGCCGAAAGGACGCTCAGTTGCGGATATGCCTGGAAGCGAAAGGAAAGTCCAATGCTGTAAAGAAAAATATTGCATAGGAACCTGGAATGTAAGAACCATGAACCAGGGTAAGTTGGATGTGGTCAAAAATGAGATGGCAAGAATAAATATTGACATCCTGGGCATCAGTAAACTAAAATGGACAGGAATGGGCGAATTCAGTTCAGATGACTATCTTATCTACTACTGTGGGCAAGAAACCCGTAAAAGAAATGGAGTGGCTCTCATAGTCAACAAAAGAGTGGCAAAAGCTGTACTGGGATGCAATCTCAAAAATGATAGAATGATCTCGATACGAATCCAAGGCAGACCTTTTAACATCACAGTAATCCAAGTTTATGCACCAATAACTGGTGCTGAAGAAACTGAAATTGACCAATTCTATGAAGACTTACAAGACCTTATAGAAGTGACACCAAAGAAGGATGTTCTTCTCATTATAGGGGATTGGAATGCTAAAAGTAGGGAGTCAAGAGATAAAAGGAACAACTGGCAAGTTTGGCCTTGGAGTTCAAAACGAAGCAGGGCAAAGGCTAATAGAGTTCTGCCAAGAGAACAAGCTGGTCATCACAAACACTCTTTTCCAACAACACAAGAGACGACTCTACACATGGACATCACCAGATGGGCAGCATCGAAATCAGATTGATTATATTATCTGCAGCCAAAGATGGAGAAGCTCTATACCAGTGTTTCCCAACCGGTGTTCCGCGGCACACTAGTGTGCCGCGAGATGTTGCCTGGTGTGCCGCGAGATGTTGCCTGGAGGGAGGCGGGCGAGTCCAAAAAAGGTTGGGAAACACTGGACTTTCTCTTTCAAAAAGGAAACGTGGGTTAAAGCGGCGCCGCCGCCTCCCACTCACTTTCCTGCTCTGGCTTCCCTAACAGTTTTCCGAGTTGCGTCACTGGAT